CCCTCTCGAGTTCCCTCTCAAGTCATCTCTCAAGTCTCCTCTCCAGTTCCCTCTCAAGACTCCTCTCGAGTTACCTCTCGAGTCCCCTCTCAAGTTCCCTCTCAAGTCATCTTTCAAGTCCCCTCTCGAGTTCCCTCTCAAGTCATCTCTCGAGTTCCCTCTCAGGTCATCTCTCGAGTCCCCTCTCCAGTCTCCTCTCGAGTCCCCTCTCGAGTTACCTCTCAAGTCACTTCTCGAGTTCCCTCTCAAGCCCTCTCTCGAGTTTCCTCTCGAGTCCCCTCTCAAGTCACCTCTCAAGTTCCCCTCTCAAGTCACCGCTCGAGTTCCCTCTCAAGTCTCCTCTCGAGTCTCCGTTCAAGTTCCCTCTCGAGATCCTTCTCAAGTCACCTCTCAAGTCACCTCTCAAGTTTCCTCTCGAGTTCCCTCTCAAGCCCTCTCTCGAGTCCCCACTCCAGTCCCTTCTCAAGTGCCGTTGGAGGTTCCGTTGGGGGTCCTGCCAACTCCATGTCCTGTCCCGTTGGGGGTCCCGCCGACTGCTCTTCTACCGGGGGTCATGACAATCCCTTGTCCTGTTCCGTTGGAGGTCCCGCCGACCACTCTTCTACCGGGGTCCTGCCAACTCTATGTCCCATGCCATTGGAGGTTCCGCTGGGGGTCCTGCCAGACCTATGTCCTGTCCCGTTGGGGGTCCCGCCATCTACTCTTCTGCCGGGGGTCCTGCCAATCCCTTGTCCTGTTCAGTTGGAGGTCCCGCCGACTACTCTTCTACCGGGGGTCCTGCCAACTCTATGTCCCATGCCATTGGAGGTTCCACTGGGGGTCCTGCCAGACCTATGTCCTGTCCCGTTGGGGATCCCGCCGTCTACTCTTCTGCCGGGGGTCCTGCCATACCCTTGTCCTTTTCCGTTGGAGGTCCCGCCGACTACTCTTCTACCGGGGGTACTGCCAACCCTTTGTCCTGCTCCGTTGGAGGCCCCGCCGGGGGTCCTACCAGCACCTGGTCCTTTTCCGTGGGGGATCTTGCCGAGGCCTATCCCACCGGCTCCGGTTCCTGTTCGGCCGATACCGGGCTCTGCTCGGCCTCTGGAGCTGTCTGGTCTTCGCCCTCGAGCCCGGCCCCCTGAGAGCCGCAGTCTTCGCCCTCGACCCCGGCCCCCTGAGAGCCGCGGTCTTCGCCCTCGATCCCGGCCCTCTGTGAGCCGCAGTCTTCGCCTTCGAGCCCGACCTCCTGTGAGCCGCAGTCTTCGCCCTCGAGACCGGCCCTCTGTGAGCCGCGGTCTTCGCCCTCAAGCTCGGCCCCCTGACTTTCCCGGCCGCGGTCCTCGCCCTCATGCTCGGCCCCCTGAGTTCGCCCGCAGTGGCCTTCGCCCCTCCATAACCCCCACCTTGGACTCTGTCTTGCCCCCGGGCCGTCCGCCCGAGTCCCCTTTCTCGGCTTCTGCCTTGCCCCCGGGCCGTCCGCCCGAGATCCCTTCCTGGTCCTCTGCTGTGCCCCTGGGCGGTCAGCTGTACCCCCTCCACCCACCCTGGTGGCCTAGTGATGCGTCCCTCCTCCGGACCCCCTCCACCCACCGTGCTTGAGGTTTTGGACTTTTGTGGTTTTGGGACGTCTGGGATCCGTCCCTTGAGGGGGGGGTAATGTCACGATCTGTCTGTGTTGTGTCTTGTCTAGATCTGTCTTTGGTTTTCTGTCTGCGTTGGGTCTTGTCTAGATCTGTCGTTAGTTTCCCTGGTGTGTCTAATTTACCCGATTGTGTTCACCTGGTGTCCCTGTGTTTTCTCCTCCCTCCTCACCTGTGTCTTGTTTGTATGATTAGTCTTGTGTGTATTTAAGTTCTGGTTTTTCTGTCTGTCTTTGTCGGTTCGTCTTGTGTAATGACTTGGTCTGCGGTGAGTGTTCTGTTCAGTCTTTGTGAATAGTTTAGCCTTGAAATAAAGGAGTTATTTTTGTCACTTTAATCTGCATTTGGGTCCTGCTTCCTACACACACCGTAACAATTATGTCAACACATTTTACATAAGTGTATTAGGTTAGATGAAAGCATTAATTTCAAGTTGAACCTAGTATTTTTTATATTTAAACATAATATTACTGCTTTCTAACCTGATGAAGTTATGTTAAATTTGATGACATAATACATTTAATTAAAGTCAACGTTTAAGTTTTTTCAGTGCAGTATATACCACATAAAAGCATGGTGTGATGTCTAGATGTTGTTTTATATGATCACATATCAGCTTTGATCAAGTTCAGAGAATATGATGTATCATCGAAAAGTAAGTATTGTTCAATGACATTTAAGCAAAATCCATCCATGATATCCCGAAATGATCCAGGATGTCCATCAATGATAAAGAAAACTCCAATAAAATCTCCTGCTTTTTTTAGTCAAATTCAGTTTAATCTTTGATACATGACAATTGTCATTACTTGATATTGGTCAGTAACCCAAAAGTATTAATATTGGTGACACAGAACTAACTGGCGAGTCTTGTGGAGTTCATGTAGTCTGTTCCCCCATCGAATAACCTTTCCATTCACTTTAGAACGTTTTTTCCCATAATGCTGGTTTAGGTTTCATGTTGGTGTGTTCAGGCATTGCAGATGATTGATTTAAAGTTAGAGGAAGCAGACTGTATTCAATGTGTTTTGGGGGTGAAAAGATTACTATCATCACCCCCACATCTGTTTTTTTTGTGTGTGTACGAGGTCAGAGGTTACATGTGGAACATATGTACGTTTGAAATAAGGTCTAAAGGCTCCTGCTATTATGAATGCAGTTAGACACGCTCCGTGTTGCGGCCCAAAGAAAGAGATCTGACATGTTTCCAATATAATAATAAAGTTACAATTTCAAAGCAAAGTATATTTTGTACAGCAGCCCAAAAAGCTTGGTGTTACTGTAAAAAAGCAAAAGAAGGTTTGTTAAACTCATTAACTGACTCCTTAAGTGTGGTCAAAAGCTGTATATTACTGTGGTACTTGCTACCTAAACCTACCTAAACTCTTGCTTCTTTCTCATATATAGCAGTATAACATAAAATAAAACAATTTTCTAAACTCAATAACACCAATAAATCATTGGCCCAGTTTGGAAGACTACCTCAATGGTCTCATTATCAACACAAGCCGAGATGGAGTAACCACTTTTGTTTTCATGAGAGAGCATAACAAATGTGGATACAGCATGATGGACAGTTCTGCACATATGGTACAACAGTAACCAGAACACTGGGGTGCAGAGAAGAGGCCTTACACACTCTTCTTAGAAATGTTGTGAGTTCCTTCTTGCATGACATGTGATGTATGTACCTTCTCATTCATTCATAAAGAGAGGGTGAGCAAACAGTGGAGCCTCAAAGGAGGCTTCTGAGGAACGAGCAAAGAGATGTGAACACCCTGCCACTCACCGGGTGAAAAACATTCCTGAGCATACATTAACAATATCAGGTTTCATTGGGACTGCATAGCTCAGTGACGTACTAAACACGAGGAGAGAAACACAAAAATAGGGATGAAAACCATGAAAACAGGCATGTTGAGACACTGTTGTAGCTCAAACTCAACTTTGTCATAGTCAAAAGTGTTTTTGTGAGTGTATGTGTTCACATGTGGGCGATACAAGTTTTTACAACCATTTTTTCCGACGTAAAAATGAATTGCACAAGCCAATGTTGGGGGAAAAAAGGCATAAAGATAACGTATCCATACTTGCTTAATGCATAGGAAGTGAAATGTGTTTACTACATGTTACCTCAGCCAACCCGGAGAGATGTTTTCTATTCTGAGGCTGAGGCAAACTCGGCTGTTCCGAAACCACAAGAGAAAAATATCAATTTCAACTGAGTTTGACTGGTTTTTCCGATCAATATCAGTTACAACTTCTCGTAAGAATATATAAACTTGTACATCTGTTAAATACTGGCAGCCATTCATAGCAGGACTTTTTGTATGACATCTACATTTCCAGATGTTGCTCAGGGCGCCACTAAGGCGAGAGCCAGGACAGGTAGTTATACTTTATGTAGTTATGCAAGCACCGTGACACTATGCCTGGCAATTCTGGTCTGTTTGTCCTAATATCAGAATACTCTGCGATGGTTTGCCATGACACTGGTACTGATTGTAAGTCGCTTTGGATAAAAGCTTTAGCTAAATGCAATGTCATGTAATGGTACAGAAATGTATGTCCAGATAAATGTCAGTGACTTTGGAGCCATTGCACTTATATCGGAGGTTTGAAGTGTTTTGTGCTGACATCTGTTGGATGGATTGGAATTACATTTGGTTAAATGATGATGATGCGCCAGTGAAGATGGCTGCATTGTCGTTTGGCTCCTCTCCAACTTTGCCCTTTTTCGTATTTTGTGCGTGTTTATTTACTTTTTGCCGTTTTGCTTTTAACATGGTTCGCAACATGCAAGCCGACCTCACCAACTCTGCTATATACAGGAACTTCTTCACATCCGAAACTTCGTGGACAATAACCCGCCGACAGACAATGGAGATTCGCCATGGCTACCTGTTGCTGTCCTACCTGAGAGACGCAGGAGGTAGACCAAGCGAGGGTCCCGCAGGTTGCTGGTCAGACTGAGGAAACGAGAAAACCGACCCCCTCCTCCGAGTATTCTTTTGGACCGGACTGTTAACTCGGGGAAAAAGTAAGGGAGGTGGTGTTTGTATAATGACTAATAACAACTGGTGCACAGATGTAAGGGTTATTTCTTCGGACTGTTCCGCTCATTTAGAGCACCTCATGATCACATTCCGGGCTTTTCACCTGCCGAGAGAATTCACATCTGTTGTGATAACAGCAGTGTATATTCCGCCGCTAGCCGACCACAACACGGCACTCGATCAGCTGTTTGGGATTATTGACAAGACCGAGACTTCACGGCCAGAGGCGGCGTTCGTTGTGGCCGGGGATTTTAACACCGCTAACATGAAGAAGGTCCTGCCGAAGTACTACCAACACATCAGCTGCCCGACGCGCGGGGGAAACATACTGGACCAAGTTTATTCCCCTTTTCGACATGAATATAAGGTTCTCCCTCGCCCTCCCTTCGGCTAATCAGACCACATCTCACTGCTGCCTGCTTACAAGCAGAAACTTAAAAGGGACAGACCGGTAACAAGGACAGTACAGCGATGGAGTGAGGAGTCAGATTCAGCTCTGCAGGATTGCTTTGCATCTACGGATTGGAGTGTGGAGTGTGTTTGAGGACAATAGCATCAACACACACACAGATACGGTCATCTGCTACATTGGGAAATGCATCAATGACGTGGTACCGAAAGTTTCTGTACGAACATTCCCAAATCAAAAGCCCTGGATAAATGGCGAGGTGTGTGGCAAACTGAAAGTGCGGACTATCGCGCACAGAGCTGGACATTTGGAGGAGTTCAGGAATTCTGGGTATGAGGGTATCAGGGTGTGTTCATTTCAGCTGGCAGAGTTGTTCACAGACATCTTCAACAGGTCCCTGCTGCAGTCGGTTGTCCACACATGTTTTAAACACTCCACCATCGTTCCTGTCCCAAAAAAGACAAAAATCACAACCTCCAAGCTGGTCATCAAGGTCAGAGACCTCGGACTCAACAGTGCCCTCTGTGACTGGATCCTGAACTTCCTGACGGGCAGACCCCAGGCAGTGCGGGTGGGAAACATCACATCCTCTACCCTGATCCTCAACACCGGAGCCCCTCAAGGCTGCGTGCTCAGCCCTCTCCTCTAACCCCTGTTCACTCACGACTGCATGGCCATACACAGCTCCAACACCATCGTGAAGTTTGCTGACAACACGACCGTCATCGGCCAGATCACAGATGGCGACGAGACAGCGTACAGGGAGGAGGTTGAAAACCTGACATCTTGGTGCCAGGATAACAACCTCCATCTCAACGTCAGCAAAACAAAGGAGCTGGTTGTGGATTACACGCCCCCATCGCCATCAATGGGACTACGGTGGAGAGAATCAGCAGCTTCAGGTTCCTCTGTGTCCACATCACTGAGGACTTAACATGGACTCTTCACCATCACCAAAAAAGCTTGACAGCGGCGCTTCTTCTTCCACAGGCTGAGGAGGTTCAACATGGACTCCAGGATACTCTGCAACTTCTACAGGTGCACCATAGAGAGTATCCTGACTGGCTGCATCACGGCCTGGTACGGCCATGCTGCACCGGGCCCTCACAGTCCTGTAAAGGCTTTACAGGAGTGTGCGGAAAACAT